TGGTTGATCATTTTATGTGAATTTTTGGGTGTATTCATAAGATCAAGACCATTAAATTTTTATCAAGTTAGAACTTTCTTATGTTATACTATGAAGTTATGAAATGCTTAGTTAATTAAATTTTTTTTTTTTTTTGGATAGTTTGGATTATTAGATTTGCACTGCCAAGAACCAAGTTAATGTTTTGCTTTAGCAACTTTCACTCATCTCAACTAGATTTTTAGCAATAAATCAATTGTGTGGTTGTGCACGGGGCACCAGCATGCGTGCCTCCGTGCCCAATGCGAGCCAGCATGCCTCCGTCCGCGTGCAATACTTCAATTTCTCGATGAAGAGAAATTCAAAGAGGCAGTTCACAAGTAAGATTTCAATTTTTCAATTTTCTTTTCCGGTTTAATTCAAAATTTCTGGCTGTTGACAAATTGAGGAAAAAAGAAAAAGAATTTAAAAAAGATGATTCTTCACTATCTTTCACAGAAATTTTTGCAGATTCGCTCTTAGAACTGGTCGACGGTTTAGAGCAAGAAGAATGTTACTGTTATTCAAAACCCCAATGGGTTTTTCCCTTTTCAAAGTCTTGGATGAAGGCAAGCTATTCAAAGTTGAGGTATTTTTCTTTGTAATTTTTTTTTTTTTTTGTTTTTTTAAATTCTCCCAGTTTCCTTCATTGTCGCAACTTCATAATTCGTTCTTCTAATGTATGAGTGATTTGATGATGATTTTTTTTTTTTGGCTTGTATTACAGGACTTGTGGAAGGAGTTCTCTACTATAGCATTTATGACAAGAATTAAATCTAGCAGATCAGTTCAACTTCAGAGTCTGCAAGTTTGATGAAGAAGAGCCAGAGAAGGTGAAGTTATTTCTTTATATTTTATGTGGCTCGACATTTAAATTAACTAAACAAGTAAAGTTTTGGACTGTCTCAAACAAAGTCAGTAAGACGACCTGAATTTTTTGGATAATGACTTATGTTTGCCTTTTTCATTTTTTTTTTAATATCCATCCTACTGCTTTAAAGAAGATGCACTTATACACATGTCTGTATCAGACCAAAAGTAGATCTCATTCCTGCTATACCTAAGGAAGAAGCTGGTACAAATCTTTTTAATATGGTATGTAACTTTTACATGTTCAACAGATCTCTTGTTGATCTCCCAGTTCTTTGTTTGGGATTTGTTTCTCATTATATTAAACCAAATTTCAGAACTCAGATGATAAGAATAAGGTAGATGCTGGAGGTGCATCCACTCAGAAAGTTGGAAAGTGTGTTCTTCGTTCTAAAAAAATTGCATTAAACATTTGATCATTGGATAGTAGGCTGATGAAAATTTATGACCCGAGATTCCTTTTATTTTAGTTTAAACGGAATGCTCTTGTTATAATCGTCCAGTTCTTTGATTGCTATTTTACTGATTGTTTGTGAAGTGCAAAAATTGTGTCTTAATTTAAAACTTCATCTCTTGTGGATAATAAATCAATAAATAAATAAATCAATAGTTGACTTGTGGATAATAATAATAATAATAATAATAATAATAATAATAATAATAGTAAACAATGTAATTAGTTTGGTAAAAAAAACATCAAACTGTATCTGGTTAATATATAATGCTTGTTTCTTGTAATCCTTGGTAAAGAGAAGACAAGAAGGAAACCTACATCAAGAGACAAAAAGAAAAAAATGTTATTAGTAACATTGTATAAAAAAAAAATCGTGTCAGGCGAGGCACACGGGTTTAGATCACTCCTTGCCTCTGTCATGCTTGTTCCGAATAATTTCAACGCAGTTGAGTCCTCGTTTGTCAACTTATTTATCAATCATCTTCTAACCCAATCGTGCTTCCTCTTTTATCAGTTTTGCCGAGTCAATTGTCCATTTGCCTTGACTCTGCAAAAGCTATTGGTTGTACAGTAGTCAATATTGGTACTCAAGACTTGATTGAAGGAAGAGTGAGTGGAACCAATTTGCTACTAAACATGCATAATATGTATATTATTTGCCGAACAAATTTTTATAAACCTTTCATCTTTTCAGCGTCATTTGCTACTCAGGTTAATTTCTCAAATTATAAAGGTTAGTGCCCTTAGTCTTTATTGCATTTTGTAGCTTCTCAATAGCAGAGAAGAAAAAGAGGCATAAAGAGGAGTATTGCTTTGTATGTTGATGTACATTGTTAAGTAAGTTTAGTCCTACTGGTTGACCTTTTCAAGTTGTTATTTAAGTATAAATTAGTTCAATAATTCTTAGACGTGTATAGACACGCACTTCCATATATGTATATGCATGTTCGGAGGTGTTGCACACACATAGATACAAGTACAATTACAAGTAAAATCAAATCACATAATAGACCTGCACTTCTGCAATTGCATGGAGTGCTAGAGTGGTCTTCCCACTACTTTCTGGCCCGTATATCTGAAAAGAAAGGCACGAGATTATCAGGTTCAACAAGCAGCGGCTAATTGTTTAATATGCTAAATGCTGAAGTAACGAAACAACTATTTAATCATTGTTTTCAGTACACACACACACATTCTTATAAGTTCAATGGAATTGTTTGATCCTAAAGGAGAAAATGTTTAAATTTGCTTCATGGAAGTGGTCTATCATTATTTAGTTCACTTAGCCCTTCCACTAACAGTAAAACCACGTGAAAGGTCGAGACCATAGTAATGTCTTTACTAACTGCACGTGAGTTTCAGGATCTGGCAACTCATAATATCTGGTAAAGGTTCTGGTAGTGTAAATGTTTCGAACCACCATGATAGATACATTTACATCCGTAGACTACTAATGCAGTGTTATTATCATATCTGTGGTGTCACAGCTTCTAAAAACAAGAAGACACTGGGGTTGCAACCAGAGAAAATTAGATGGATAAAGTTAAAAAGGTACTAAATGTAACACCTCTACAATCCTTCCTTTCACAGAGGCACATCGTGTGAGCACGGAGAAATTATACTAACTTTATAGCTGGAATTTCTTGTGATTTCAGAAAATGCTTGGTATAAATCTGCGCTAAAATCATTGGCGATATTTTACAGCTTAAAATTAGTGCTTAGTCAGAAAGTTTTTCTTTTTTTTTTTTACAAGTGATCATTTATTAAATTTAAATGGTTCATTGTCCCACAAAGCTAAATAGAAAGTTGATTGTTGTTGGATGCTTTAGGAAAAAATAATTCTTTCATGCTTCATCAGATGAAGGAAACCATGAACTAACATCAATTCCAAAATAAAATCAATTCTATCTTGTCGACAATAATCAACTACCGTGCAACTCACGTTCTGAAAAAAATAACTCCTTCGTACTTCATCAGATGAAGGAAACCATCAACCAACATCAATTCCAGAATAAAATCATTTCTATCTTGTCGACAGTAATCAACTAACGTGCAACGCACGTTCTCTTCACTAGTATTGTGAAAAGTGACCATTTTTTTCTCTCCTTAAAGCCCCTTTCAACGCTGACATTTTGAGAACTGAAGCCAGTGTGCAAAATAAAAAATGAAACCACAGTGCAAAAACTGCACCCAATCAATCTCTTTGCAACCGTCTAATATACACACCTTCCTGCAGATGAGTTAATAAGTAGACATTAATATCAGAATCAAACTCCCGCAATTCACCACATAAGCATCGTTATACAAAGCATTCGATTATGGAGCAAATGGGCAAGCCTGAAACAAGCTCTGCTATTTATTTACTTACAAATCTGTTATGCTGATAAACCACAGCATATTCAACACAGGTAAAACAGTTAAGCCAAAGGTCTTGTAAAGTATATAGGAGAACAGTTGAGCCTCGGAATGCCATATGCATTCTGGCTCTATGCTAAGAGCTTGAACCAAAAACTCGGATTCTCTGTTCAATTGGAGCCCGACAGCAAGGGCATGTAGCTTTTCCTTTCCTCCCATATTTTTCATTGCAGTTTGCGCATATGACTTGATGAGCACAGGGAAGAAAAACGACAGAAACTTCGTCCTTCATGCAAATTATGCATTCCCTGTCATAGCTAACCTCTGGAGAATCTTCCATATCCAACTCATGCAGCAGACTTGCAATGGTTTCTCCTTCGGGCTTCATGCCATCAGAGTTTGCTGACAATAAACGAACAGATGGATTTTGCACCTCTGTAGATTGTGCCGACTCTTTAAGGCGTGCAAATTCTTGCTCAAGACGGTGGAGGTCATCCTTGTGGCGCTGGAAGTCTATCTCAATCTTCAGACGGAGAGCCTCAAGCTTCCTTTTGTTGCTAGCCTCAGCTGCTTCTTTGAGGCGTCGCTCCTCCTCCAGCTGTGCAAAAGCTAGCTCTTTACTCTTCTGCTCCTGCCTCCACTTTGCCTGTCATATAGTGTTTTCAATTATTAATTATGACGTTGGAAGTTAGAACTAAGCTAGTAAAAACCATGTATATATGTAGAAAGCAAGGATCTTGAGCAATTGTGAGTATCAGCATATGTGCATATACATAACATTGCAGTTCGAAGCTTATCAAGAACATGTTAATAAGCACAAACTGATGCCAGTTTGTTCGATTTCAAAAGATTCAAAAGACTCCATAACACGGCACAGAGAAAAGTTTCCAACAAAATCAGCAATAGCAGATCAATAGTTAGGGAAGAAAGAACAGCAATTTTTGGTGTGCAACAAAAATGGGTCAAAAGTCGGTAAAATATTTACACGATCAATCAAGAAAGAGAAGAACGGTTGCAATGTACATATTACAAACACACATAAAAAAGAGAGTGAGTTGCGTGCAGCACGAGTGCATACAGTGGGAGTGCGAGAGAGAGAGAGAAGCAGGGGCACCCTGCAATATGACGCTATTTTATGCATTGGCTCCAATGACAACCAATACTCGTGCCATCTCTGATAACTTAAGGCAAAAAAAAGACATGGAATAAAAGTCCCAAAACCTTACTCATCGAACAGCAGGAAGATGACAGACAAACATTTTTCACTGCAAGTTTGCAGTGGAGCATGAAACTTGGGTATTACGAGGGTATTATCATAAAAGAGTAAATTTAATCAATCCTCATCGAACTTTAAATATGTTACTACTTACTCACTTATCTTTAATGGGTTACCCTATACTCACTCATCTTTTCATATAATTACTCATCCATCATCCCTCAACTAACATTTTCAAATTGTGGATGAAAAATCCCACGTGGCAAATGACAATCCTACGTGGCATGTTAACCATGTCCATGTCATCAAAAATGCTCCCACCAAACACGCATCTCTTCCTCGAATCAAAATTCCAAAATTAGAATCCCCAATTGGAAGCCCTAATTTCAAACCCCCAAATCAGGCATTCCAATTAACAAGGCAACCCTCACCTTAACGGGTGAAAATACACCCTCTCTTGTTGCTATTACCCTCATCCTCGAAATTTTAAACAAAACTCATAAATTTTCCCTTTCGATTTTGGCTTTTTCTCTAACGGGTTTTTGTCAAATTTATTTTTGTTTGGGGTTAAGCAAGAAAGCCTCAGAGATGCAGCAACCAGGGCAAATGTTTCCAGTTACGCCTTCATTTCCTCCTACTAACATCACAACTGAGCAGATTCAGAAGTACCTTGATAAGAACAAGAAGTTGATATTGGCGATTTTGGACAATCACAATGTCGGAAAACTTGCCGAACTTGCCTCCGCTCGCCGGTCCCTTTGCCGGTCACTTTTTTTTTTTTTTTTCTAATGTCCATTGGCAAACAAATCACGCCACAACAAAGTAATAAAAAAATTTACCTTCTTGGTCTCTCTTGTTCATCCTCTCATCTTCCATACAATTTATTCAGAGGAGAAATGTCGTGTAATGGGTTGAAGAGAAATTCCAAGCTGTAAGGATTTAACTGGTAGATTTGCCAAGTATGATTTCTGTTTGCCACATGTATTTTTCCATCCATTTGGAGAAATGAAAGTTAAATGAGGGATGGATGGGTAATCATAAAGAAAGATGAGTGAGTATCGGGTAACCTAATAAAGAAGAGTGAGTAAGTAGTAACAATATCAAAGTTTAGTAATGGGTGATTAAATTTATTCTTATCATAAAAATAACAAATTAATATTGGCGCAAACTAGGGAAACAGCTGTAAGGGGCATGAAAGCATTTTGATGTTAGTTAAAATTGTTTCAGTACATGACAGGGTTGAAGTACAACAAACCTCAGCTTCTTTCGTATCCGCATCGGACTGAGCCAACTCCTGCTGCAACTCTGAGATCTTCTTTTTCTCTGCAGCAATGTCCTCCTGAAGTTTTGTCTTCTGTTTCTCCCAAGCCAAAAGCCTCTTGAGGCACTTTTTTTCCCTTTTTGCAACTTCTAAACAGGTTATGACTGATTCAGATGCACTTAGTTTAGAGGCCTCCATCTCTGCTCTAATTTCAGCATTCTCAGTCTCAAGCTTCCTAACGGCAGCATTTGCACGGTCCACTTGACCACTTGCCTTTCTCAAAGCATTCTCCATCTCAGACAGCCTCTTCATGGTAGAGTCTTCAAGGGTCTGTTTCCCCTTTTTCAGCCGTTGGTTCTCCTCTCTCTCCATCCTTAGCATCTTAAGTTCAGTCAAATCATGACTAAGCTTTCTTGCAGCTTGCATTGCCTTCTGGTGAGCCCAGTCTTTCCGTTCTTTCACTTGTTTCTCTAACTCCTTTATCTGATTGATCAAGCTTAAAATCATTTCATCTTTCTGGTCCAATGAGACATTTTCTGTGTTCTCATTAAGGTTCAAGTCCCGAAACTTACTCATCACCGAGTTTACAACATCTTGGTTCTTTGCATATTGAGACTCCTCATTTTGCATAGCCTCAACCTCGAATCCTGTTCCACATCCACTTGATGAATCCTCAACAGACAAAGAACTCGGACAAGGCTGCACTTGACTTTGAAATTGCTTTGAGTTTGCCCTAAACCCTGCAGCAAACATTGCAACATTCCTCTTCAACAAACTCTTCATTGATGGACTGAGATTAAACCTCTTCGGGCACTCTATCTCCCTCTGTGGAGCCATATCTGCTGTGTAAGACAAAAAACCGTTCACTCCATTCACCGGGAACTCAGCCGTCCCATTGTTCCCATAACCCCAACCACCATGAAACCGACACAATGCTGGGGCAACCACCCCAGTTCCCCCGTTACTAACACCATCCTCCATACTCCCACTACCACTCGCAGAGCTACTCTCGCATCCATTACCACTACCACCAGGGGAGGGCAAAAGTGGGATTTCCATCACACTTGCACGACCGACGTGAAGATTGCTCATCAACAAACACCACATAGCATCACCCTTACTCAAATGGGGTTTGACTTGTTGCAACAAACACACCATTCCTGCAAGCGAATACTCCTCCAGCTGCCTCAAGTCTTTGCATGCAGGCTCGAGCTCCTCTGGGTTTGGGCCACTACAGCCACTACTCAAATATGCCAAAGAGTTCTGTAATACATTAGTCAGCACATCATTCCCACCATAACAATGCCCATATCTCAAAATAGCCTTTAAAGCTACATCTTCATCATAACCCAACACCACCAGCTTATTTAACGCCTCATTATACAAACACTCCAAATTTTGTAGCAAGATTTCCTCCAATTCTTCTTCCGTGCAGTAGCCCCACCCGCTGTCATCAAAACCAGAATTCGGGTTGGGGTTTGACACAGAACTCGAGTCTTGGGTTAAAGAATTAGGCGTAGGTTTAATAGCAGATTTCGGATCTGTCAATGTTTCCCCATTATTATTCATGGTGGTGGTGCTTGTGGAGTGATCAGATTCGAGTTTTACCGGTCGAGTCTTCCTGCTGGTCCTGATGTGCTTTTCCCTAACAGTACAACCCATTTGGGGATCTTTTTGAATTTGATTAAAAATTTGGCAAGAACAAGAAACCTAAAAATAGGGGGAAAAACATATAATCAGTAACATATATAACTACAAATTCGTATAAAGGCAAGCACATATGTATCGATAAAGACTTACAGGTCGGTTGATGAATCTGAGATCAACTGCGTTCCAAAGTTATGAGTAACAAAGAGATTTCAATGTATGGGTGGGATGGGAAATCAAGAAAAAGGGTGTGTAAGAGCTGTGGCTTTGTTTATGGAAGGCTACATCATAGGCTTGAGCGGATTAACACAGTGTTGGGTCAGTCTATTGGTACATATTGGCCTCAAACCCATGTGGGCTTTAAAACTTGGCATAATTAGGCCCAATACGCTCAAAAACTAACAAATTAGAATAATACTCCCTAAAACTAATTAAAACTTTCACCCCGTAATTAATACGCTCAAAACGTCCCCAACCCTCAAAACCTTAGAAAGCCCCAAATCAGAACCCAAAAATCCGACTGAAACTCCCACCACCAGAAATTTTAATTTTGGTTCACTGTCATCTCTATTGTTTGATCTAGCTCATTACTGCTGTTTGTTCTTGCACTCATTTTTCTTGCCGTCGTAGGAGCGGTGGCTGCCAATTCCTTGTCAAGCATCTCTCCATCTTCATGATCTGTGCCTAAATTATCTTCCCATAAAGCTGCACCATCATCGAAGGAAAGTAAGACCTCCCGACTGTGCACCCCAAAAATCATCGCCTATGCTTGAACCTAAATCATTTTCCCCAACACCGGCATCGAAATTCACGAGCTAATTAATGACACCATTAACAATTACTAATATAACATATTAGAGACCACATATTCAACAATTAACGGTGCTAAAAAAATCACTCAATTTAGTATTAATATTAATATCTCAATCCAGAAATCTAATTTAACAGTAAAAATTACCTCAAGTTTCTGAACAGCAATGGCCTCAGAAACGCTGATTATGCTCATGAAAGTTTCAATTTCCCCTTGATTAGCTCTCGCCATTTTCTCTGAAAAAAAATATATTTTTCTGAATGTTTTCTGGGTTCAAACTATAAAACAGAAAACTTCAATTTTATTTGTTTGCTTCAAATAATATTCTAATTTGTTGGTTGTGGTTCTGTGTAGTGTGAAATTTGAGAAGAAAAATCGAATTAAATTCTACAGTGGTGGATGGTTGCATTTGCAGGTTTGGTAAATAAGATGAAAGATACTACCCCTTGTGTAATAGTCCAAACTCGCACGCCAACTCTTTCTCTTTCTCTCGTATTTTGCTTCTTGTGGCGTTTTNGTAGGGATAGGCGTGAATTGGGTTGGGTCGATTTTTTACCCAACCCAATATGATCGATTTGATAAAAAATCAAACAAACACAACCCATTTACGTGTTCCAACCCAATTAAGTTTCGGTCGGGTTGAGTTGGTCTGTTTGGACATTAAAAATCATAAAAGTATATTCCGACAATAAAAATCTATCAACCACATGAAATGCATAAATAAAAAATGCTAAAGAAAGAAAATAGAGACATCTTGTACATATAATTGAAACTGCATTTGTTTTCAAATCAAAACTTAACAAGAAATGGGAAATATTAATCAAAAATTCACTACAACAACTTTTTAATAGTATAACCACAAGTTAAATTATAAACTTGGAATAATCATAGATACTCAGTACAACTTCGTCAAGATTTTAAAGTGCAAATTTCTAAAAGATTTTCACCAACAAATTTTAGCAATTAAGAAATTTACAAAAAAATACTTTCTCATTTCTTGGTGAGAAAATAAGAAAGGTTAAAGTTGTGTATTTGTGTTTTGTAACTTATTTGTACCGTGACTTTTGTCTTTTGCAATGGAGTTGTGTCTTTTATTTTAACTAAGTGGGTTAAATCGGTTTTCTTGGATTAACCCGTTACCCGACCCGCCTTCTTCGCCAAAAACCCAACCCAACTAAAAAAAAAAAAAAACTGGGTTTAGGTCGGTTCAGGCAGTTTAGGTGGGTTGATTTGGGTTTTGTCCACCCTTAGTGGTAAGGTTTGATTATGAATTAAGAGGAAATTACATAAAAACATGCATTTTATTTTTCAAATTCAAAAATCAGATCTTAGATTTATTCAATCAAAAATCAAGTATTAATTGAATTTATAATTAAAATCTTAATTTATTTCATTCCCCATCTCACTCTTCTTTCTCTCTCTAAACACATCGGGTTTCAAATATTTTTCTCATTCTCTCTCTAAACCCACATAATTGCCTCCCTCCATTCTATCTCACCTTTCCGTCACCCCCGCCGCCTCTTTCGACCACGAACTCCTCACCTTTCCATTGCTGCTGCCCGCCGTCGTTACCCAACCCATCACCACCGTCAATCCATATCGCCGGCCAGAGCTTCAATCGGGACGATGAAATTGTGAGCGACGAGACATAAGCTTCAATCACTCTCCACCATTCTATCGTCGCCATCCGCCGTCGTCGTCCAACCCCATAACTACCCTCAATCCATTTCACCCCAGAAGGAACGCGAATCACCACGAGTTGCGACGTAGATTCATTCACTCTGACGACTCTTCGCAGTCGAAGCATCGCGACCTTGCGTTGCTACGTCGACAGTGTTTTGTATAGTGGTGGTATTTTGTGTGGTTGCGAGGTTTGTGGTGGTGGATCTGGCGGTTGGGGTGTATGGTGTTTTGTGTGGTGGTAGTTTTGTAGTGAAATTGGTGGTTTATTGGTAGTTGTGGTGGTGAGGAGGAAGTGGTGGTGGTGGTTATTGTAGTGGTGAAGAGATGGAAAGTACGGTGTTCCTACTAGTTGTCGTGAGGTGGTGGTGGTGGTTTTGGAGATGGTGGTTTGGCGGCAATGGTGATGGTTCTGGCGCGCCGAAGCGGTGGTGCTGCAGGAGGTCGCAAATGTTGGTGGTGGTTAAGCAGTGGTGGTGGTAGTGGTGGTGATGGTGAAGATATGGAGATTACAGTGTTCCTAGTTGTCGTGAGGTGGTGGTTCTGGCGCGTCGGAGGCAGTGGTGCTGACGGAGGTTGCAAGTGTTGGTGGTAGTCATCAATTATTTGATCGACTGTGGCTATTAAATTGATTAATTTGTGACCAATAAAAAATATGCGACCAATGCAAAATAATTTGTGACCATGAAATTACACGTGACCTAAAAAATTATTAATTTGTTATCGATATTTTAATAATTTGTGACTGACTAATAAGTTGTAACTCATAATATTTGTGATTTGTGATTTGTAACCTATTAATTTTTTGATTTGTGACTTATGAAAATTTTGATCTATGACCGTAAAATAATTTATGATCTATAAATTTTATGATTTATGATCGAAAAATAATATGTGATCAATTAATTTGATAAAATGTGACCAATAAATAAGTTGTGACCCATAAGTATGTATATGTGACCATGAATTGTATAATTTTAATTTTAATATATTTAATTAATAAATAAATACCTGATTTTTGCAATTTTTAAATTAAGACCTAAAAATTGATTTGGTGATAGTTAAAATCTGATCCATGAATTCTTCCCTTGAATTAATAGTAGAAAACATCCCTAAAAACATTTCACATTGCGACATACCCTTCTATCTACTGAAAATCTCAAAAAAATTCCCCTATTTGAAATATTTATTGCGAAAAACTCCCTACCGTCCAATTCTGTTAGTTTTACAGTTAAAAACAATAAAAATTGCAAAAAATTAAAAAGGAATAATTACAGTTGTGATCCTAAACTTTTTTATTTTTTTACAAATTACACCAAAATTTTTTATTTGTACCACTCATATTCTCAAACCTTTAGAACTTATCTTCCACCCCATTTCCCCTATCCCACCCCAAACCTGTAAATTGAGTGACCTCAAGTGAACGAAATCCAAACCACTGAAATTTCAGAAAATCTCTGAATAGTTCACCCCAAACCTGTAAATTGAGTGACCTCAAGTGAACGAAATCCAAACCACTGAAATTTTCGAAAACCTCTGAATAGTTGAAATCAGGACTCCGTATATCAAAATGAAACCCTGTCTCCACATCAAATACAGGAAGATCCAAAATCCAAACAGAAGAAGATCGAGCTAAGTGGAAGCCACCGAAAATCTTAGCGTAGTCCTCAAACCAAGATGCCGTGTGGGGGAGTCTGGACTTCGGTGGGCCCCCAAAAACGTCGTCATACACTGACTTGTTAGAGATGTCGGCGGTTCCGACAAATTCCACTTGGGAAGTGAATGAGAAATGTTTTCCATTGATTTTCCCTCCCTCGAGGATTTGAGGTGAGAAAGTGAAAGCTCAATTCAGTAAGAGTAGGGAGTAATGGGGGCATTATCTTCCACCCCACTCATAAGATATAAACATGTAAATTAAGTGTGGCCTCAAGTGAAATGTTTCCCTTTTATTCCCCCATTACTCCCTACCACCCATATTCCCAAAAACTTATTTGCACCCCACATCAGACTACTTTGAGTGTAATCTGGACGAAGTTTTCTGAAGCTGTGAGCCTCTTGGTCAATAGCCAGTTGGGAATTCTCTTCCTCTTTTCCCGAGTAGCTCGAATATTTTTCATTGCCAGAAGGCCCAGAACATAACAAAGATTACGAGAACTATAATATTTTGGCGCTTCTTCCTTGGAAATTAATGACTTTGACTGTTCATCTTCTTCTTCTTGATGGGTATTGTTCAAATCTTTGATGGAGGAGGGGGTTTGGATTGAAAATGGAATAAACGATTGATTTTGGGTTGGGTTGATTTGGGCATGAGCGATACGAGGGGGGGTTTGAGAGAGGAGTAGAAATGGGGGAAGAATTTTGTAGGTTTTTTGTTTGGGTTGGGGTGGGAGTGAAGTGGAATATAAGTTTTAAAGGTTTGAGAATATGGTTGGTACAAATAAAAAATTTTGGTGTAATTTTTTAAAAAAATAAAAAAGTTTAGGTTCACAACTGTAATTATTCCTTTTTAATGTTTGCAATTTTTACCATTTTTAAGGGTAAAATTAACGAAATTGGACGTTATATGGGTTTTTCGCACAAAATATTTCAAATGGGAGGTTTTTTGCGATTTTCAATAGATGGGAAGTATATCACCATTAAAAACCTTTTTAGGGGGTTTTCTGCCATTAATCCTTTGATTTTCTTCTTGCTTTATTTAAAAGATCCCGACACGACACGATTCAATGTTTATCAATCTAGTCTAGTCATGATCATCAAGCCGTTGATGATTTTGAGCCAAAGTTAGAAAATGGAGTGAGCTTTGGCCAAATATACGAACGATATCATGGGACGATTAATAACTTATCTATGTTGACAATCACTTGAATTTTATTTGAGAATTTACAACCATAGTTGTATGTAGCATGTTTTCATGACGTCGAGCCTCAAATGACGTAAGATACTGTTTCGCAGGTTTACTCGCTAACAATTAAGAAGGGATCAGACGATTGTGTAAAGGACAAACCTCTTGGAACAAAATCCCAAAAAGGGATGTTTATTGAATATGAAGATTAAGTTTAGATACGAACAAGATGCCTCCAAGGGGCGCAAGCACACAAGTACAAGGGAATTGAAGTAATTAAAAATTAATCTAAGAAAAGTAAATTACATGTTCTCTGTTTGAGAGTGAATTTTGTCGAGGTTATCTTCGTTGTCTTCCTCTTTCTTTTATACGGTTTGGGCAGTTTTGATTGTTTAGAAACTGCTTGTAACTACACGTTTCTTTCATCATGGTCGGTTGACCAATAATTACCGTGTGCAACTCCTATCACCACGTTATCTTCATNTGGGCGACTCGGCATTTTTGGGGCGATTATAGGATACTTCATTCGCTCAACATCTGGGCGTTCTGCAGGCTTGAGCGACAACGCACCTTTGTTTTTGGGCTTTCATCATATTTAATGACATTTCTGGTTGGGCTTTTACTCTGATCTCTCTAAATGGGTTTCTTCTCTTGGGTCATTTCCTTTCTTGGACCATTTGAATTGAGCTGTACATTTTGTATGTCAACAGATACCCACGACACAATCAATACCACAGCATGCAGAGGCAGAAGATATACTACACTTCAAAATTCAAATTCTCTATTTCACGCATAAAATTATCAGATGACGAGTGCATAATTTTTTTTTTTATAATTTTATGTCAATAATGTGTAAAAAGTGTTAGATCACTCTTCATTTTTCACTGAAATTCACATATTTATAAATGCATCTTAGCTTTGAATTGATTTAGGTAATTTATTTGGACAGTTTTGAAAGTGTTAGATATATCGTCATTGTGTACGTAGCAATAGGGTGGTCCCACCCATCGAGGCCGCTGAAGAGGGTGGCAAAGGGGACTTCCCCCTCCTTAATGCAAGGGGATTTTGTCAATCAATGTCTCATATCGCAAGTTTCTGTGCATGTTCTCATGATTGTTAATGAAACTTGTTGTGTCGAAGTTGAATCGACTACAATTGATTCTTCAGAGAGGAGTAATAGATAGAGATGACGAAAATTGAACACGTGACTCTTTATAGTTTCAAATTTTAAAATAATATTATTGGAAAAGAATTTCCCGAGTTCATGGGTTTATATTGTCCCCTATTTGAGCTCCATTATTCGAAAATTCACATTTTTTTTAATAAAATAATTTGTAAGTAAATTTAAAACTTTTCCTTATTTTTTAGGCGCTTGTTCTCCAAAAATTTACTGTTACAAAACCTAATTTTCTATGAAAATGAGGCTCAAACAATGGCATAATAACGTTTTGATTATGTTTGGTTGGACCAGCAGACTTTAGTCTGTAACCCCTCTCTCTCTCTCTCTCTCTCTCTCTTGTTCGACTAATAGACTTTGTAATCTCAATGTACAGCAAAAGAAAACAAAATTTTACTCCCAATAAATTTGAATTTGAGGTTCGTTACATATAATTTTTTTCATCACTATTTACGCTTCCTGTGTATAATATTGATCAGTGATGAAGACACTACAGAGAACTACGGCAAAAACCAAAAGAAAATAAAAACATCGACGGGAAGTACGAGAACAGCCCATGCACAAGGCTTTCATTCACTATCTTCAAAGATCTGTCACAACCCGGGCTAAAAATATAGCAAGCACCGAGGTTTACTAGCAGAAACCCTACATTTCATACACCACGAGAGATTTACAGGAAGTAAATATTTCACTGGACATTAGAGAAAGAAGAGGTTAAAAGGGGGGGAAAAAAAAGCATTGCTACTGTATATTTCCGATTTGCAGTGTTAGCTCCAAGTCTGTTATGAAGAAAGCGCAAGCTCGGCCCATGCCAGAGAAGCAGATGCTGTGAGATCGGCAGCTACAAATGTGTCAATACCACTTTCCAACAAGGAGCACAGGTTCTGCATGGAGGTCCTGGTGCTAGACTCTGGATGGGTACACAGATTTACCACTTCGCATATCACCTTCAGGTCCTCGTATCTGAAATGTTTCAACTCGGGATCCACCACGTATGACATGACATCGGGTACTTCAAGAAATTCTTTAGCCTGCAGCAAATAAGTGGAACTAAGGTTTTCAGCACTGAGAGTCCTGAGATTGGACGGTGCGAGCATGTTTGGCTGAG